CGCATTGCTGCTCTGCGTTTTCCCGTAACATAGTTGCCAATTCAACCTAATCATCTCTTCGGTATATGCTCGATTTTACCTGGTACGTGGGCCATAGTCTACCGTACCCAGAGGAAAATCGCACCAGTGTGTCATCCACTCTTATTACCTCTGCAGTATCTCTTCACAGTGGTCATTCGGCAATAGAAGCTCTCATTTTACCTATTCGCTTGAGTCAGTGTCCTAGGTGACTAATGCTCTTCGCGGAGTCACTTATAAAGAAACCAGATATTTTTCCGCTGTCGCGTAATCAACTTAAGCCTTGCAGAAAACACTTCCTAACAAGAAGGTATGTCCTAATTAACCATTGTCAGAATATTCTGCTCTACTTTACTCTCTTCGTGCTTTCTAAGACGGAACAACGCTGTTGACAGAACCAAAACTTCAGCATCAAATGGTTAGGTTAGGCTTGAGCGCTCAGTTCAGGCAATAGGCTCCATAATGACTCGTAGTTTAATTCGAAATATATAACTTCCTAAATAAGTTTTTTTAAAACATGTATGCAATTACCATCAAAATTTCTTTAAGAGTCGTCCATTGAGTAGTTGGCTCCTCCAGTATCCATTCGTGATAATTTCATAGTAAACACTTGTGTTCTAATCCACAATCATTTTTAACATCCGTACAATGTTTACTGTAAAGCTCTGATTGTTATAGGCATGAAAGCCAGCCAGGTCAGTTACATATACACATCTTCATATCTCCTCCTGAATAACACTCCACCAACATCTTTCCCCCTTCCTCCTCTTCTCTTTATACCGTGGATTGCAGACTGACACACGCTTTTTTCTTACAAATCTTCATAAAGCGGTGGAAACTGCGGTTAGAGAATTCTCCTTCAAATAAAGTAGCATTAAGTTCACAGCTGCTTACGGAACATGCATATAATGAATAAAGTAAGCTTTATGTTCGAAAACTATATTTGTAAAACCAAAGTTTTCAAAGTATTCTTTCAAGTATATTTTCAAATGATACTCATTCTCGTTACAAGGGAACTATCAAGGCCTAAAACTCGACCGTCACTCGTATTATTGCTGTTAGAAATTTTCCATCATCATTTCTGCGCTAGCGGATCTTGCGGAGTTCCGCATATTTCATTGCTGATCATGCAAAATTACCTTCAAACACGAAATTTGCAAACACAGAAACTGCTGTAAATCTGAGTAAGGACAAGAAGAATCGCTTGTCAAGAAGCTGACAGATGCTAAAACGGGTGTGACCCTGCACTTTTGTTACTGAACAAAATAAGATATCTAAGGTTTTGTTATTTGTTGCAATTGCTGACTATGCCGTAGTTCTTTCAAAGCTGAGTACAATTTGGTCAAACTGACAAAGGGTAACCATCACTAAAATGATGAGAAATTCATTAACATTCTTCACCTTTACTGCGTCATTTCATTGGTTAAATCATCCACATATCACCTCATTGTCTTTTTGCATATGATTTGTCGCTATGGCACTTCGTCATCAATTGCATCAATGGAACAACAACGACGACGCAAACTGGTTTATTGGCCATATATGAAGCCGATTGCAAGTTTGAGAATATCAGTAAATAAAGGGCAAAGCTTCTGAAACCTGATAACACTGATTGTATCAATAAATTGTATATGTAACATGGCAACGACGAGTTATTTAGTGAAATTGTGTCACTGAACCGAAAACGGAAAACTGGCGTAGGGGGGAGAACACATGGAATGCGACTGTGTGCTACAACAATACGACGCCATCCGATACAGTACAGACACAACTGGCTAGATCAATAAATCATTATGAAGCACAATAAAATTCGAGACTCAACAATATAAAACTACTGCTTATACATAAATTAGTACCTAGTGCGCAAAGGTGCAGACCGTACATGACAAGGCACGTATTGAGAGGGACAAGTAGCACGACTTGAAAGGGTTATACGTTGGCAGTGATCAAGCGCAAACCCAACAGATGAAAGAAGAAGGAATTAAAAAGAAGTGGATAAGATGGAGAAATGACAGTGTAAAAAAATGATAACGGCAGCCTTTAAACAATTATTAAAATTAAAACATAATAGAGAACAAAATCTGCGGTGCCTTACCAGCTCAGAAATGGATAACATAAAATGAGTGCTCTTTTACATAATATCTATTCGCCGGACACTCATCACTTCTGGCCTTCTTGTTCCAATTTCACCAAGTTATAGCACTTAGTTGGTAACGCATCCCGAATTTCTTCCAAATTTCGAACCTGTCAGATGAGCAAATTTACTTGGAACTCAGCAGTAAGATTAAGAGTACAATGAGATAATCAAATGATAAGTTTAGCGCAGGG